CCCCCCCCCCAACCAATATCATATAAATTCAAGAAGTTTGAACCATTCAAGGTATAAAGGTAAGGTAAAAAGACCAAAAATACTATTTGAAATGTCTACACCTAAATAAATAATTTACAAAATAAGCAAATATTTAGTTGGAATTTTTGTTTTAATAAAATAAATAATGCCATAAATAATAGACCTATTATTTATGGCATACTTACATAATTATTACTCGATATCAAATCCTGAGCCTGCATATACAGTGGCTTCTATCCTTTATTTTAGAGGTTGGATTTTTTGGCTTATTCTGAACATGCACAGTTGGCTTATTTTGGCCCAGAGGAATGAGAGGACACGTTTAATTTATATGACAAAAAACCATGACGTATTTATACGTTATGGAAATTGATGACATATTTATACGGCAAAGAACACTGACGTATTTATATGTTATGGAAATTTATGACATATTTATACGGCAAAGAACACTGACGTATTTATATGTTATAGAAATTTATGACATATTTATACGGCAAAGAACCATGACGTATTTATACATTATGGAAATTTATGACATATTTATACGGCAAAGAACACTGACGTATTTATACATTATGGAAATTTATGACATATTTATACGGCAAAGAACCGTGATGTATTTATATGTTATGGAAATTTATGACATTTATACGGCAAAGAACACCGACGTATGTATACGTTATGGAAATTTATGACATATTTATACGGCAAAGAATACTGACGTATTTATACGTTATGGAAATTTATGACATACTTATACTGATGTATTCATATGTTATAGATTTCTATTACATTTTTGTAGTATTGCTGATACAAATATTTCCCTTCGCACATACATATATATTTTTGATACACATATATATTCTTGATACGTATATTTATCTATGATATTTTGTCATAAATCGCACCTCATAAAAGTTAGTGTACTCACAAATTTTGAGTTACCTGGAAAAACAATGTTTTAAGTAAGCTTCAATTTGGTTTTCGAAAAGTTAGATCAACAGAACATGCTATAGTAGACATAACTGATGTTAAAAAAGTGATTGATAAACATCTTTACACATGTGGAGTATTTCTAGACTTTTCCAAAGCGTTTGATACAGTTAATCACCAAATATTGTTAAAAAGTTAGAAGCATATGCTATAAGAGGAACTCCCTTCACTTGAAACGTCAAGTTTCTGCTTGTTTTTTTAAGGTAGTAATATAACCAGCACAGCATTTTCACATTGGTACTACCTACACTGGTACAGACAGTTTTAGTATATACAGTCATATTAAAATATTCATGTGCATCTCTTATTTTTCATAAGGCTGACCATTATCTGACTGGAAATGATTCGTTTTACTATCTGATTTTATTTCTACCTCGACTTGTTCATATTCTTTACGACGGCTTTAATTTCAAAATGCGCACAACCATACTTGGCTTCCCTTAGCATGTTGTTATGAGCCAAACACAAATATCGGATATTCCATCATTCTTCAGCAGTAGCCACTAAAGCAAACTATAGCATTTGCCCCATTCTGATTGGTTTGCTATATTCAACTTGATGAATCTGACCGTAGCAAAAATTAATCATATATGGGCAACACGCTATGGTATTTCTGAAGGATGCTATTTTCTAATGTATAGTCGAATGCATAATGACGAGCAAACACACAATTACAAGCATATTTTCTGGTGGGATTTCTTAAAACAATTTAACCTTGTGTATCAATGTCATCAATTCGTCAAAGTAAAATGTTTAAGCATAACTAAATCAAAATAGAACCTTGAAATATAAACAAGGAAAGTAAATAAATATTGCTAAATTATATTTTAAATTGATTTTATGAACCATGTTAGAACTGACCTATGGAAAATTTGACCATAGCATATGCTACAATTGCAATGGTCTAAATCCGCCCCGGACGGCTGACCCATATGAATTTATTAAACATGCTTTCCGTTATATCACTTCATAAATTGCAAATTCTTAAATTTGCTTATCAATGGCAAAAAATGAATTACCCAAAAAAATTTTGTCAACTTTGGTAGCTTTAGAGGGAGAAATTGTTTGCAACAGATGATAAACTAATTGTGGTTCCACACTTTGAAAACTAAAGGTAGTATTTTTGGAAGCGGAGTTGTTCAAATATTCAGCAAAAGTACAATTACTATTTTCGACCGAATTTGCAACTTTGGCCCCTATATCAGCAAAATATTTATTGAAACAATTCTTCGAGGGCATGACTACGTCTTGATCATTTACTTTGAGATTATTGATAATTGATTTGGATGACTTACGACTTAAAATATTAATTGCTTTCCAGGCATGTTTATGATCATTATTCTTGTTAATTATATTTCAATGATAATTTTCCTTATCTTGACGTCACCCTATTTCGGTGCATCGAGAAAGCATTCCAGTTTTGTGATCATAGCTATACTTTAAGTCGATCTCTCTCATATCAAGTTTTTGGTATTTTGGTTTATCCATGGAATGTTATATTTAGTTCAAATTCGTTTGAGTTTCAGCATAGTGTGTTTGTCAAAAACTTCCAGAAAAAGAGATTTCCAAAGAGACCACTTACGATCAATATTTGATTCCTGATTGATGTGGTCCCATGGTTGATTATAAAGATCATTGTGAATTTCAATACTCTTATGGGAATGAGGGCCCGCTTTAGGTCTGGCTCTCCTTGCTACATATATAAAATTGTGGTCACTTATGCCCAGCGGAATGACGTCCGCAGAAACAACATTCTCCGAATTTGAGGTGATACAAATGTCTAATAAGGATGCGGTTGTTTGAGTGAGACGCATGGGTTGGGTAATTATTTGAGAAAGTTGGTAAATTTCCATAAGTGAAGTTAGTCGCTTGGTAACATAACTGGAGGAGTCCAACATGTTACAATTTAAGTCACCAAGTAAGTACATTTCCTTTTGCTCAGAGTCAAGATTATCGAATAGATTTTCAATTTTGGAAAAACCATCTATGGAACAATTTGGTGGTCTGTAGAGAGTAGTGATTATGAAAGTCCAAGTATATGGTTTATAAACTTCGAAACAAATAGCCTCATGATTTTCAGGCATGACATAATTCAGGTTGCGATAGCTAATAGAATTATTTACGAAAATACAAACCCCACCTCCGTGTCTATTACGATCAAAACAAATTATATCATAATTTGGAATACTTACGAGATCGTCAGAAGTGGATCGATCTTATAGAATTATTTACGAAAATAACAAACCCCACCTCCGTGTCTATTACGATCAAAACGAATTATATCATAATTTGGAATACTTACGAGATCGTCAGAAATGGATCGATCTAATCTCGTTTCATTAATTGCTAGAATATCAAATTTCAAAGTTGCGAGTAAAATACAAAACTCGTCTATGTTTTAGTAAACTGACTATATTAAGCATGGCCATCCTGAAACCTTTGACCTTAGAAAAGTCAGACTCATGTAGTTTAATTTTACTAACACTAACCTGCATTACACATCAATTTGATAAATGACAAAGAAAATTTCGACTCAGTAAACTACTTCCTTTATGGTTTAGATGCAAACCACGTTGTTTAAACAAGATCTGTCTATATTGCCATTATCTATCAAACACCTATTATAACTAATACATATGACCTTAAGTCGCTTATTCGTCTCATTAATTTTGTTTATTCGACTTGAGTTATTTTGTCAAGTTATTAAATTAGAAACATATTTTTGTAGAAGGAGAGTTGGTAATAATTTGTAATGCAAGACCAGAAATACCTTCAGCCAGGTTCTGGGGTTCCATATCTGCATCTTTAAGATTGTTTGTACCAATGTGAAGAATAATTTTATCTGGTTTCAGATGAGTAAGAGGGTTTAAGTAATCTTTCATGTCTTCTAACTTACATCATAACCATTGCTATGGTAACAATGACGTTTCAATATGGCCGACATTTTACCTTTTAACACAGTTTACTTGAAAAAAGGCCAGTTATCCCCATTTTTTATTTCGTGAAACGTTTTCATTCAGAAAAATGAATGATGTGAACAAGTTTAAAAAAATTCTGTAGATCCAAAATATTTATCACGAAAAATCACGTTTTTTAATTTTTTTAAAATTCTGATCTACAGAATTTTTTTAAACTTGTTCATATCATTCATTTTTCCAAATGAAAACGTTTCACAAAGTAAAAATTGGGGGTAACCGGCCTTTTTGTCGATTAAAATGTGTTAAAAGGTAAAATGTTGGCCATATTGAAACGTCATTGTTACCATAGCAATGGCAATGACATCATTTTTGTGAACAATTTTCAACTCTTAGAAGATTGCTCAATATATGTGGTACAATTTTTGTTTTCTAACAAAAAACCTCTCTTAAAAAAATTAAATCTAAATCACGATTTTGTCATATTTCAAAAACTGTATTGAGCCACCTTAACTGCTACATTGTAATCCTCATTAGAAAGTTCCCAACCATGAACATGCTGAATTATTGAGTCACCAGCAATTATTACTCATCGTTTGGTTTTCTCCTTTCTGTTCTGAGAGTTTTGCTCTATTGTGTTAGAGCGCTCTTTATCATAAGAGGTCTACTATGTAAATGATGATTATTACTTCGAGGTAGGTTTGCGTTCCCTGTCTCATTAAGGACTTCTTTTGTTACACTCTGCAACTGATCCATAGAACTCGCTGTTGCCAAGTAGTCTCAGTACGTTTGGTAGTGGTTCTAGATTTTCCATGCTGAACTCTATCTTTATAAGAGGGATTAATTGACTCTTGACGTTCATCTTGGATATCAGGTATATCAGCATTTGTGTTATCGTCAGTAAATAGCGGTGAAAAACTGTTTCGATGAATAACAGACTGCAGACTATGCTGAGGAATTTGATTCTCAAAGCCAGGGTAATTGAATCTTTCTTGTTCAGATTTATTTAGATTTCTTTCATGAACATGAAGAGCCATTTCCTTCTCCAAGGCACTAGATTTCTCTTTTTCTTGCAATTCATATAAATGTTATAGGTTCAGTTCATATAAATTAGTGTATTCTGAGCCTGGGTTTGAAGAAGTTTGCCTTTGATTCTGGAGAAGAGAAATATCAAATTTAATAGCAATAATTCCACATGCTCATGTGGCATTCGATTTTAATTACCAATCCGTATAATTGATATTATATTGTATGCGTTTTATTGTCAAGATATACATTATAAGTTCTTTGAATGTTTGCATGGCGATAAAATATGATTGTTTTTGTTTGTGGAAACACCACGTAAATTTATTACTGCAAAGCTTTTGATCCGTAAGCCCGGATCTATACATATTATTAGCACATATGAAGATATATTATTAGCACTGATGAAGATCCGGGCTTATGGATCGAAAGCTTTGCAGTAATAAGTTTACGTGGTGTTTCCACAAACAAAAACAATAAGATATACATTGTCAATATAATTATATACAATGTGAAGGTACTTGACAGTTTGATAGTTCTAATATCTTAAACGCTGTCCTTTGTCCAGCATCATAACTTTCCACACCTACAGTACTTGACATAGTATATGTGCAAATTTATTGTTGAAATACAGTAGCTTGGGCATCATTAACCCATTAAGTTGCATTGTACCCCTGATGCGCCCTACTTTATTATTTTACTCGGTCTAATACCCAATGATTTTACTCGTCAAGCGGAGAGCGCTGATGCTTATAGACAGACACATACCATCAAATAGATACTCACAGGGAGAAATATCTGGCCCATGAGCACATCTTGAAAACAGTGGGTCATCTAAACTGTCATGCTTGTTTACTATGTGGCTAAGGAAAGATTTGAACTTTGCCCAAATAACTGTTCCGTTGCCATCATGAGTGGAACAAGCACTCCAATAAACATGATTGCCACAAGGCTTTATCCACTCTGTCACTCCTTTGCATCCACCTTCCTTTGACACTTTTGTCAGTACTTTTGTTATCTCTGGAAAAGGGTGTATATTTAGATATAGAGTTCATTTAGTCTGACCATTTAGTCAGTTCATTTAGCCCATGATATTTGTACACCATCTATTCATTTTCTTGGTACACCAGATGCCACAAATCAAAGTAATGTTTCACATTAGCCAACTTTGTCTTCATGTGTTTGCTGATGGAACCATGTCTGTCAGAAACGAATGTTGACATCACAAGTTGACATCCCGACAAGAATCCCATACAGTTTTGGAAAGCCAAATATTCCATTGCTGGGCTGCTACCTGCTTCATTTCGCTATATGTAGAATAAGGTGTGTTCAATATTGGGGAATAGAACATCACTACATAACCAACACATAGTTTTACTCACATATATACAAGAAATAGATTCATGCAACCCATCCTATAATTAACAGGCTGGAAAGTATTGAGATAAATACAGTACTTTTCATTTACCTGTACTAGGGAAAAGTGAATAATGATGGATGTGGTGCAGCTCAATATTGTATATGCACAATATTTTGCACAATGTCCCATACTGTCATGCCGACGATCTCCTGCCAAAACCAAAGAGCCAGCTTCTTTAGCCTGGTTCACAATTTTCTTTTGGTATTCCTTCCAATGTAGATGTATTGAAGGCAATATGACTTTCTATAATAATGAATAAAGAGCCAAAGAAACAAATTGAATTGGAATTTTTTTTATTTTGGCATCCTTGTGTTCAAGTATATTATGGCTTTACATATTATACCTGCAGACCTGCTTAATAATTTATATTTTCAAACATGTTCACCTATCAGAGGGTCTAGATGGGGGTCTGAAAATTAGTAAACGGTAAATCTTTGAACATGCTGAAAAGTGTTCTGAAACGTAAACAGTATTTTTCCTCATGCTTCAAGGTAAAATTCTTGGTGTTTTCATGACTGACGGTAACCAAAATTGAGCAATCACAATATACCCCATCAACACCCTCCTATCAAGAAATGTATTTGTGCATTTCAGTGTTTCTAATGATACTTGTTGATGTCTAAAATATGTAGACAATGAAATGCAAGCAAGTCCCATGTGCTTCATAACTTGCAAAACTTTGCTTGCTGATGATCCAGCTACCAAGATAGCAAAGGATAACAGGAAATTTCCTGCATAAATTTTTGTCCCTGGCATTAGTTGCTGACTTTTCCAGACAAAGTCTTTCTTGCACTTTGGGTTTTGGCAGCTGGCAGTTATTGTTACCATTGTTCCAACTTGTGACACTATCAGTGAAGGCTCACTTTCATGGCGGCAAAAGAAGCAAGTCTTGAACAGTAACAGTAACTGTGTGAGGAACACAACAAACTTCGGCTGTTGGCGGATATTGTCTGTAATATCCTTTCTAGATAAATGAATAATTCCATATAAACTGATATTACTAAAGTTAATTGTAGGCTTGCATTGTGCTAACAATGCATATTTTATGGTGGTAAGCACCATATTCAATTCATACAGTATTATCTGTGCTGATGAATTCAGGTTTTAAGGGATCATTAGAATCATTCGCAGCATTTGTCAACCTCTCATATCTCTCCCATAAGTGTGATAGGAGGGATAAATTCTGATTAAATCACAGACAAATCTACACAAAATATACCATACCTATTCACTGAATGCAAAATTTGATCTTCTCCATCTTCACCAATATCATCATCACTGTCATCAGACAAATCTGTGGTGTCATCTTCTTCCATCATATATTCATCATCTGTGTCCATATCATTGTCGGATAAATGCATGACTTCATCATGTGCCAATGTGGTTCTTGGCAAGGATCTGGGTAGGTATCGTCTAAACAGATGTGGAGGGCATTTGAGTTTACTAGCATGTTATTTTGCTTTTTTATGCAACCACTATTCCATCGATAACATGGGGTTATTTAGGTCCTAGGAATTTAAAGTTGGGCTCAAGATAATTATAGTTTGACATTATTAAATACCTTGATCAGTGTTGTGCAAATCTTTCTTTTTCAATTTAAACATTGCCGCCTTCATAGACATTTGCATCCTACACATTCCTCTGTCTGGGCTTCACTGTCAACAAACCTTCTGAAAGTATAACTGTAATTTATAAATTATATTGCATATCGTAATACAGTAATAGGACTTGGATTCTTGGTTAGCAAGTACTAGCATGATTTATAGTTTACACTTTATAAACAAAGCCTTTAATACCTGGTCGAACGAAAGGGATGATATATTTCTAGGATCATCATCATCATCGACATGCATCCTGGTTGTTTCAGTAGCAATTATAGCATCACATGACATCTCATCTGTGTCGATAGTCTTGTATTTCGACTCGACATCATCCTCAAGTTTTATATCTTCATACGACGAAGATGCTTCAGCCAGAATCATTTCGACTTTCTTTCTTCCCTAACCAGTAAAAGAAATGCAAACTTATAAATTAATAAATACAATTAAGACAAATTAATACTGACACAATGCACACGAATGACGCGATCAAAATATTTATCAAATGACAAATATAAACAAATATATATATAAACATACCTGGTGCTTGTCACGAGGGGAGACTTCGTCTGCAAGATTGCTTCTTGTGAATTTGCTTGGATAGACAACTACACCTGTTTCGTCCTTCTTTAACTGAGGCGTATAGTCTCATGTTCCAGGTATCTCAACAAGGTATTTCTCATAATCCTCTGGAGTAAAATGCTCAGAACATACAGCAGAGAATTTTGATGGTGTCCATTGCACGCTGTGTCTTGACAAAGTTCACCCATATCTTTCTCCTTCGCTTTGCTTCAGGGCGCTCATCGCTTCATTCGAGCAACCAAAAACGAAACATCTATCCGCATTTTGCTGTGTTCACAATAGCTTTTTAGTACTCCTTCACACGTGAATTCGAACTTCCATCCCTTAAGCTACGTCACATGGCTCTTGCCCCAGACTCTTTTCCACTTTTTTTTTTCTTCGGGCGTGACAATTTTTCGCTAAAAGTCAATTTTTCAAGGTTTAGAGCCTCATTCTTTAATAAAATAAATTTCTCATTCAAGTTGAAATGTTTAACCAAATAAATATAAAAGCAAGAAATATATGTCAAGAAGCTGACAAAGGTGATGTCCAATTGAAATGAATAATGCAGCGACCACCGCGATAATGCTTTGATAAATGCATGGATAATTAATTCTTGCGACAATGCGTGAATAATTAATTCATTTTATTTTGGATATCGAAGTCCAATCTGATCAGACTGCGAAACAACTTTATAAATCCGATCCAAAATGAATATTTTGGTTCCAAAATCTGAACGAATCCATTCGGAGCAGATTTGCACACTTCTAGTTTGTGGTGATGCAGTTTCACTTTAAATTTTTGACTCTGTTTTCCGGAAATCTTTGTTTCAAATTGCGGTATTGCAGTCTTATGAGAAGAAGTGGTTTTCGGTTTTTGCATTGCGGTAATTGGTGAAAAAAGCATTCTCAACGGTGCATTGTCATATTGGTTATATTATATTACGACTAGTTCGACTCTTTGCGACTCCTTTCCAACATGAGGTCTTCGGGACTACTTTGGATGCAGTCGATGTGCCATATTGGCAGCGGCAACATGCGAGGCTGAAATATAATATGGCGAGCGAAGTTGATTGTATAATAAATTGTGTAGCCTCAAACAATGAGGAATTCAAGATGGCGTTAGCACAACACGCCCAAAAGCGCACAGCACAAAATTTGAATAATTCATTAAATAGCACGCCCAGAAAACCAGTACAAAAGCAATCTAAACAATCGAAAGATAACAGGAATGAGACAAAGGAAAAATAAGAACCAAACAAGATTTATACTATATGATGAAGATTATGATGGCAAAGTTAGGCAAACTTGACAATATACAGGAAAGAATGGAATCTATGGACAACGATTTAAAATCAGTAAAACAATCACTAGAGTATACTCAAGCAGAAGTTACCGAAAATGATTTACGCAAGGACATAGACAAGAGAATGCCCGAATGAATTGAAATCCTAGAGAAAGACAACGAAAGACTAAACAATAGGGTCATTTATTTGAGAGCGCGATCAATGCGCGACAATTTAGTATTCTACAATATTAAAGAAAACGCGAAAGAAAACACAACAGAAATCATCCATAAATTATTGGAAGAAAATTTTAACATACAAAATGCTTCAGAAAAGGTGAAGATCGATAGATCCCACAGGATTGGCAAACCAAGACGAGAAACAGAGAAGCCTTGATAAGGATAATATCTTGAGATAAGATTCCAGATAAGGATAATATCTTGAGGAATGCCAAAACGGCTGGCTGGTGCGAATATTGGCATATCGGAGCAATTCCCGGTCGAAATCATTGAGAAAAGAAAGAAGCTACTCCCCGAATACAAGAAAGCCAAAGCAGCAAATAAAAAGACAAAATTGGTGTACGACAAGCTTATCATTGAAGGTCAGGTTTTTCATATGTCGTCATAAATAATGGACTTGTATTTCAGTAGTCACGCACATATTAAATTTTATTCATATTAGCTTTATGTAAAGCACACTGAACAGCAACGATGTCTAGTAATGATATAACCTTGGAAAATCTGCCATTTAGTTCACTTTTAGAAGACAAATTTATGAATTTATATGATTTAGAAAACCAAAACCACCAAATAAGCTATGATATTGATATGGATAGACTAAGCCAATTAAAATTTAATCCTTTCCAAGTTAATAGTAATATTGCACTGTCCAATTACAATGATGAGTTAGATACTTCATTTGATATAAATAAAGTGGATTGTAATTACTTTCTGCCGGTGGATCTAAATAATAAACTATCAAATATAAAGCAAGAACCAAACTTTAGTTTACTCCATTTGAATATAAGAAGTATGTCGAATAAATTTGATTCTTTTAAACATTTTCTTAACTTGTTAGATTATAAGTTTCAGATAATAGGACCAACTGAAACATGGCTAAATAATATCAATTGTGAGAATTTCGAACTCATAGATTACAATTATATTGGATTAAACAGAATCAATAAAAAAGGTGGCGGAGTAGGTATGTATATTTCGAAGCAAATACAGTACAAAATACGCAAAGACTTAAATGAAAATATAGATGACTCAATAGAAACAATATTCTTAGAAATAAATCAAACAATTGGGAAAAATATAATTATAGGCATGATCTATAGACCACCAAATAACAAAATTGAATTATTTGAAAATGCAATCGATAATATATTAAGTAAAATTGGTAAAGAAAATAAAATATGTTATCTCACTGTAGATTTTAATATTGACTTACTTAAGTCGGAATCTTGTGATTATACAAATAGCTTTATTGAACAACTATTCACTTCTTCATTTCTTCCACTTATAACCAAACCAACACGAATTACTGCTTATACAACAACACTCATTGACAATATTTTTACGAATAATACCGAGAAGTTATTTAACAGCTGTATTAGCGGAATTATTTATACAGATATTTCAGATCATTTACCTATTGTACACGTTTATAATCCAACTAATTACAGAATCAATTCCAATTTATCAGCTAATAATAGCAAATACCAGACCTGCCAACTCTCACAGATTCCCCGTGTGACTCACAAATTCAGGCATTATCTCACGGACTCACGGAAATATTTTCAAATCTCACGGATTCACGATTTTGAAATTTTGACCACCACTAGACTTTAAAATTGGAGTGATTGAAGTGAAATAAAACTAGCCATTGACGGTAATTCTAATTTGTAAAAAATCCCCAACACTATTGTATTTATTTTATTATTTACTCATTTAATACTAAAGGCTATAAAGTAGTAGTCGAAGTACTCCGCCATTTTGAATAACCTAAGCGGTATGCTCCATTAGTGTATCGCCGGCACAGAGCGGGAACTTTACTGCAAGAAAATGACGGAAGCAGAAACTTTTCAAATTGGCCAATGGGCAATTCCTGTTTTATATTCACATCATCCCACATTGAGGAGCTTGATTTTTACCCCCTCATAGGAATTTCCAAGGTTGAAAATGTGGATCAGTGGTCGAAAATCATCCCCTTCCTCTGGAATTCCAAGGTTCCTCAACAAGGGTGTGTGGGATAAAAATTGGAATAGTATCCCAAATTAGTAGGATACAGTGATACACTCAAGATAATCTAATTGGCGCGGCATGCAAGTAGCGAGTCAATAGCGCGAGGCGCGACTCGAAAGCGCGAGGTGCGACTAAACTGGCACAACTCGTGAAAAAAGGTGCGACTCGTGAAAAAAGGCGCAACTTATATATAAATGATTTTAATAGATGCTCTAATATATTTGATTTCCATCTCTTTGCCAATGACTCAAACTTATTTTATAAACATAAAAATTTGTCTACTCTCCAATCCGACATAAATGGAGAATTGGATAGGATTAATTAATGGCTATGTGCAAATAGACTATCCCTAAATATAGAAAAATCCAATTTTGTTATTTTTCATCACCCACAAAAGAAACTTTTGCTTGATCCCATTTTAATAATAAATGGAAAGCACCTTAAACAAGAATATAGTATAAAATATTTAGGTATTTTTATGGACTCCCATCTTAATTGGAAGTCTCAAGTTAATTATATTGCTAAAAAAATAAATCGTAGTATAGGGATATTATCTAAACTAAGATATTATCTGGATAGACACACCCTAATTACATTATATAACACTTTGATTTACCCATTTCTGATATATGGCATCACAATATGGGGAAACACCTATTCTTCTACTGTTCAACCTCTACTTATTCTTGAAAAAAAGGCAACCCGTATTATAACTATTATAACTTTTAGCATTTTGATGCTCATTCTACTCCTCTCTTTAAACGTATCTTAAAATACTTAAATTCCCTGATCTCGTCAATTTTCATACGGCAATATTTATGCACAAATTTTATAATAACAAGCTACCATAATTTTTTTCTGATTTCTTCACTCCTCTCAATCAGATTCACAACTATAACACACAACTAGCCTCTAAGATATCTTACTTTCTTGACACAGCAAGGACAAATTACGGACTATTTAATATTAGATTTCAAGAAGCTAAGATATGGAACTCAATTGACAATAATATAAAATTGCTGTCTGCTTATCAATTTAAAAAGAAAATTCTGGAAATATTTTTCCTCAAATATTGACTTTTTGAAACGAGTCTTTATTGTCCATAATATTTTTAAGTTTTCAAATATTATATTTCTATATCTTATATAATTTCTAATAATTGTATATTAAATTCTACCTATGTAAGATTTATATAAATAGCCTTGTCTAGGTGTGTGTGTATGTATTCGTCTGTGTGTTTGTTTTTCTACTATATATGTGTTATGACCTACTGATAATTTATATTCATATTAATATTTATTAGCTGCTTGGTCTCTAGCCTTATGGTTATTTTAAGTAGCTAGTACCCATTTTATGTAATTATTAATTGTGTAAAATGTTTATATTTTTGTTGTTGTAAAGGGTACAAATAAAGGTCATTATTATCACAAACGCTTCGCAAAAGGTTTTATAGTCACTAGTGTACTTTATAAAACTAAACTGCCTTTTAAAATGGCTTTATCGATAAACTTTGAGTTTGCAATAAATGATTTTAAATTCTCGCTTGCAAATAACTTTGCTTTCTTTTTTATTTAAAAAATTCAATATCATAAAAAAGGGAATCAATATTAAAGATACACTGAAATTATATTGCTGTCAGTTGTTTCATATACGCAAAGGCTGTCGGGTTTTAAAGCCATTATAAAATCAATATTTAAAACAAACTTACCTTCGTTAACGTCGGCTCCCTTCTTTTAGCCGATTCTTTTGCAGT